ACAGATCCTGTGAAAGAGGGATTCAGGTGTGGCCCAGCTGGGACTTCCCTCTGTCCCAGCCAGAGGACAGAGGAACTAACTTCCTCTGGAGATGAAGTCCCCTTTCCTGGGCTTGGGAAACAACATGGTAGCTGCTGGGCAGGGGGTTATGGGCACTCAGATTGGGCATCATCTCTGAGGCATCTGGTTTGTGGTTGGGGTCAAATTGAGCCACTGCCCTGTCCAATGTCAAAAGTGTCCTGGCCCGTGGCTCAGCGGTTGAGCATTGACCTAGGATCCAGGAGATCGCGGTTCGATTCCGGGTCAGGGCACATGCCTGGGTTGCAGGCTCAACCCCCCCAGTCGGGGGCATGCAGGAGGCAGCTGATCAATGACTCTCTCATCATTGATGTTTCTCTCTCTCTTTCTCCCCCCTTCCTCTCTCTGAAATCAATAAAGATATATTTAAAAAAAAAAAAAGTGCCCTGGCCACTGGGTACCTGCTATTGAATTCCATGTTATAGGTGGGGTCAACGACCTTGTCTTTATCGATGTCACTGCCTGACCCATGCCCCTGCCACCATTCCGTCTTACACAGTGCTGGCAGCCCCAGGCTCTGATACTGGCTTTGGCAGCTTGGCCAAGGGAAGTTTCCTCTCTGTACTGTCACAACATCGCCCACATGCCCCTTGGTTGTTCCTCCTACAGTGCGCTGCTCCCCTCTCACAGGTGGGACTGTGCTGACTCCTATTTGAGGCCCATTGTTGGGCTCCTGGTAGAATGTCCACTTCCTGAGGGCAGGAACTTTGGTTCCTGCTATTTACCTAGCACCCCATAGGTGCCAGATAAATATTTGGTGAGTAAATGAGGGAATGGTGTAGCCCTGACACCTGGAGAAGCCTGGAAACCTGTACCTCCTACCCCAAAAGTTACAGGTGAGGAACTGAGAGGCCCTGAAATGCAGGTCATCACACATCCCTCCCTACAGATGACAGCCAGCCCACATTGGGCCTGACGGTGTCCTGCTCTCCCTCCCTAGTGGGGACACTCCGCCCCCTGGTGGCCAAGCATGGAGCAGGCCAGGTCGCTGGCAGCAACTGGTGAATGGAGCAGATGAAGACGGTAGGAGATACACTTCCGGTTCACAATGACACTTCTGAGCAGTTTGGTACTTAACTCTCTATGGAGCATTTGTGCCCAGAACTCTGTAGTGGCGGGACTTCTTCAGGGCCACACACTCACTCTGGACAGAGCACACATAACTGAAGATGGAGCCTGAACTCCACATTGCACAGACACTAAGTAGGAATAGGGGTTAGAAATGACTCAGAATAAAGCTAACAGACACTGACAAAGCGGCACATCTCCGGAGATCTATGTTTCAGAGAGTTTTTTAGCATACAGGACAGGGATGGGGCAAAGAGGCACTGATCTGTCTCTCACAAAAAATGCCATGTGTTTTTTTAAAATAAATTTTACTTCAGAGAGAGGAAGGGAGAGGGAGATAGAAACATCAATGATGAGAGAGAGTCATTGATCAGCTGCCTCTCGCACACAAGCCTGCAACCCGGGCATGTGCCCTGACCTGGAATTGGACCACGACCTCCTGGTTCATAGGTCCACACTCAACCACTGAGTCATACCAGCCGGGCAAAAATGTCATGTTTTTAAAATTACATTTGTTCTGGCAGCCATAATGTGTTAAGGGTATCATATTTTTCATGAAGCATCACTGTAATAGTCCCTTTAACTATTTTCTGGTCCTCAAAAAAAGTATCAAAACTATCAAAGTACTGAGGAAATCAAATTCACATAGAAGTGAATATTTTCCTTACCTCTCCCAACCAATTGTATTGTAATCTTAGGGTGTAAGCATGAATTTGGGATGAAATAAACATTTAAATTTGTCAGCAATCATCCTCCCCCTCTCTATCACCCTAGGGACCAGCAGCAGCCCTCTCCTAGGGGGTGAGGGATGCATAGTTGGGCCTCCATGGCCCAACTACCTTGTCCCAGGTTGGGTGGGCACCCCATCCTTTGACCCCAGCAGCACCTCTCCTTCCGTGACCAGTCCAAACTCTGAGCTCACTGGGGTTGTGTTCGAAGAAGAGGCTGGTGAGGTTCAAATTGAGGAAGCAATGTCAGGTACTAAACAGACTGAAAGACAGAGGCAGGACTGCCTGCCTCTCCCTAAATAGCTTTCTTTGTGGGGATATATAAACCCAAAGCTCAAAGAGGTCAAGGGATGAAGCGAATACATATCAAAGACATTTTCAATTCCCAGGCCCCCTGGAGCCTATCAGCCCAGGGTGTAAGGTCTAGGCTCCCCTGCAAAACAGCAGGATCCTGTTAGTATTTCTGGAGGGAACCTGGCTACAGTGATTGGGCATACCGACGCCTGTGGGCAGCTTGGACAGATGTCCACGTGGCATCTGCTGTACCTGCCTGGAATTGTACCATATGCTCTTTCCTGGACTTCCCCACAGACCCACCCCCCACATGCCCCATAGGCCTGGGCCAGGACATTCCTGATGCTGAGCAGCTACAGGGAGAGTACCCCTGACAGGGGGACAGGTGGGAGGGAGCACAGAATGTTCCCGGCCAAGAGGCTGGAGGACATTCAGGTGGGAGATGACTGGGGCTAGGGGAGGGGTGTCAGAGATGGCCAGGAATGGGCAAGGCAACCAGCATATTTCTGAGGATTGGGGTTTGTGTGTGTCAAAGACAACTAATGACCCCTGTCCCAGCCATTTGATGCTCAGGTCAGCTGCCCTCACTACCTGCCGACCTCTGTGAAGCCCACTCCTGTCCTCCCCTCAGTCTTATGGCCACCCCTTTCATCCACTTCCTAAGTGCAGATACTAAGGACTTCTCTGAACAGTATCCCTTTGTGCTGACCAGTTCTGCCAGAAGGAACCTGTTTGGAATTACTAGAGAGGTTCCCAAAACTCTATCACCACAGCAGCTATTCCTCATTCACCAACATCTGGTGTTTTATAGAAACTTCTGTAGCAGCTGCTGATTAATTGGAAGGGTTCTGCCTCCTCAGCAGCATTCCAGGGCACTTCCTGCTGCCCCCACCTGAGCCCAACTGCTTGGCCACAACATGTAGGTTTCTTGGCATGTGGGCCCCACCTGTCTGGCTTCTTCTCACCATCTTCTTGCATCTCCTGCCTCAGGACCTTCCCTGCATGTCAGCTTGATGGCTCCTGCCTATGTCCCTCACATATGTTCCTCATGTGCATGTCTTCCACGTCATGAACAGGGGCCCAGGTTGTGTCTTAGTCATGCTTCTGTCAGCAGACCTGGCTGGCAACAGGCTCCACGACGTCTGCAAGGCCTACTTGGGGATGTGAGGTGGTCACTAGGAGGGTTTCTACCAAAATATCCCTTCAGGTGCTGGGTTCCTGAAACTACATGGATGGGAAGATGGCTGTGGAGGCTCTCTGCGGGGAAGTCACTCACTTCCATGTGTTGGTGAGGCTCCCAGGTCCCTGGGGGGCCAGGGTTGAGGTGGCTTCTTGTGTTGAGGGCCACTTCCTATAACAGCGGCCATCTTACTTAGGACCAGCCTGCTGGTTTCACTGTGGGCTTATGGCAATGTTCTGGTTGATCAAGCTCAGGACACACTTCCTACAGAGGGGTTGCGAGGCTTACAGTGGAGGAAATGACATCCAGCCCACAGGCAGAATCCACCCCAAGTGAAAAAGCTGCCTGAGCCTAGGTTGGTAGGATAGGGGTAGAGGGAGCCAGACCTCAATGGTGGGGATGGCAGGGTCACTGTGCTGGGGTGAACCACCCACACATCCAGTGGCCATCAGTTTGGCCCCAGGACCATGGCTCAAAGACCTCAGATATGCCCCCAGGAGCAAGCAGTTGAGGCCACCTGGGCATCACCTTCGGGTGCAGGAATGAGAGCGACTTGAGGGCTTTGATGCAGCACAGGTGGCAGCTCAGCACCATTTCTGCATGTTAAAAACATGGAACAGCCCTGGCAGGTGGTTCAGTTGGATGAAGTGTCCCGTGCACTGAAAGGTTGCAGGTTCAATTCCCAGTCAGGGCACATACCTAGGTTGTGGGTTGAATCCCCAGCTGATCAATGTTTCTCTCTCACGTCAATGTTTCTCTCTCTCTAAAATCAATAAACAAAAAAAAAATATCCTCTGGTGAGGAATGGAAAAAACAAACAAACATGGCACACCCAAGAAAATTGAAAACACATACTCAAACAAAAATATAGCACACCCACAGCAGCAGTACTCACACTCACCACAAGAGAGAAGCAGCCAAACACTCATTAATGGATGCAAGATGAACAAAATGTCTAACCCACACAAGGAATATTACTCAGTCATAAAAAGGAATGAAGCTCTGATACAGTGCAACATGAATAAACATAGAAAAAATGCTAAATGAGGGGAGCCAGACACAAAAGGCCAAATAGTGTATGATTCCATTTATATGAAAGGTCCAGAACAGGTAAATCCATAGACAGAAAGATTAGTGGTTACCAGGGGTGGGGGAGAGGGAATGGGGAATGACTGCTATATCAAGGGTCTCTTTTGCAGGTGATGGAAAGATTCTAGAACTAGAAAGAGGTACTGGTTGTACAACATTGTGAATATTTAATAGCATTGAATTGTAAACATTAAATGGTTAATTTTTTGTCTTTCACATGAAAAGGAAAACACACACACACACACACACGACTCCAAACACCTGAAAAGAACTCCCCAGGAAAATGGAGGTTGGCCAAGATGTGTGTTGGGGGCCAAGGAGGAACAGGCAGTGCTCCAGGCCTTGCATGGGATGTCTCAGGGGTTCCCTCCCCTCCAGGTAGGGCTGGACCAGAGGAACATCAACAAAGGGGAAGACTCAGGTTTCCACCAGGTCCTCAGGTCCAGGTATGGGCTCTGCATCCTCACATCTGGTTGGTTAGCAGAAGTCCCTGCCGCCCTGCTGGCTGGGTGGGGCAGGTAAGAACTTGTCTGGGTTGACGCAGAAGAAAGGCAGAGGCAGGATAAGGACACAGCGAGCAATAGCTACTGCAAGTGATTTTACTTTGAATACAAACAAAAAGAAATCCACAAACAAGCTATATTCTATGGTTATGTCTCTTAAACAATGTTTTGCATTTATAAATTTGTTTTCCTGATTAAAAGCACCAGCTGAAGTTACAGGCTGCTAAAACCATATTACAAACCCGTTAAAAGACATTATGCCAAACATACTTATTAAAAACCCTTTAACAAAATAATGCAACCACAAGCACAGCCACTGTGCCAGGCAGCCCTTACCCAATTTCCTTGCCTGTGCTCTCAGTAAGTGGAATAGGGAGTACTTACCCCAGGGAAAGGACCCTCACCACGTCCGTTGCCACCTGCAGGGGGAGGCAGCTGTTTGGGAGGACACAGGGGCACTTCCAGGACCAGCACCCCAGACCTGCAGGCCCAGGGCCACTTCTACTAACAGGAGGTGGGAAGAGCACATGAAGGTCTAACGAATTCTCAGTAATTGACCTGCCAACAAATCCTTCTGCTACTACTATGTGCCCTATAAGTTGAAGAATTTGGAATTGTTTTATTCTAAACACTTAGCTATAGGACACTTGTGCAACATCTCCCTGGTGGCCTGCTACCTGTCTTAAATTCTTATGATTGAGAGAGAAATTGTGAGGCACTGAATATGGACTCACAGAAAGGTATATATGACAGCTTGATGTAATTGGTAGATGCTGCAGTAAAGGGGAGGTTCAAAACCGTACACACGGTTTGGCTTCCATAAAGCTAGCGTGGAATATTAAATACTGAGTACTAAATTTTTAATTGTAAACTTAAGAAGTTATCCTTAACCTTACATACACAGATAAGAGTGGTCACTAAAAGCACTTTAACATCAGGACAGACATTGTTTTGAGGTTCAAAACTTTCAACTCCTCTACATACAAAATGCCCTAGAAGCAAAGAAAATCTTAAATAAATACACAGAGACAAACATGTGCAGCAAGATTGAACTAATGTGGATATGGAGAAGTTAGACAGTATGGGATCCAGGCTAGTAGGCGAAGCTTATGGCGAGATGGGGGCTCCATTCCTTGAGTGGAGGGGAAGGCCCCTGATGGAGGAAGACAGAATGGGGACAGCTTGTGACAGGGCTTACCCTCCTCCACAGGCCTCAGAGGCTCAGGGGTGTCAGCAGAGGGGGCAGCCCTGGGCAGCACAGGACAGGACTAGGTTCTCCTGGGTGATACAGGGATGGTGGGTCCTCTTAGGACAAGCCCTGGCCAGCTTGCCCCTCTGACTGGTGGCTCACTTGCATGCCTGTCACTGGACCCCAAGTGGGCAGCAGGGCCCTGTCACAGGCCAAGTAAGGGCAGTGGCCCAGCTCAGCATGATCTGCTGACAGTCCTGCTTGTGGCTAAGGCACACCCAGGCTCAGGGCCCAAGTAGCTACCTGAGTAATCCCAGATCCTAATGTTCCTTCCATCACAGACAGAGGCTTCGAGAAGCAGCCATCACAGTGCAAAGGCAATGAGACTTGAACCAACAAGCCACCCTGGCCAGCAAGACTACTCATCAGCCCTCAGCAGTGGGGAGCTGCTCCCAGGTGCCAGAAGCTGGAGGTGGCGGCTGCCTCAACTGCCCCCAATCCCCCCATCACCATTGGGGCATCTCTTAGATTATCCAAGAGGACAGAACCAAGCACACTCTCTGGGGGATCCAGCTTGGGAAGAGGTTTCAACACTGTCCTGAGACCCAAGGCAGGTAGATCTCCTTTTCCTCCTCCCTCCCAAGGGCAGGGTGGGCGGAGCTCCAGACATCTGCAAATATCCTCTGCAGAGGAGGCAGCAGAGCTGCCCTAACCCCTTTGTTCGGCACCCTGAGTTGGGCTGAGGAGGGTCCTCTCCTCTATCCCCTGCTTCCTACCCCACAATACAGACACTGATGGGGGAAGGCAGCTGGTACAAACACAGGAGTCTCAGCTCCGGCTCCAGCTCTGAGAATCACCACATGCACATACACACATGCACAATCGTGTCTATAGCACATGCGCACACACGTCTATAGTATGCACACACATGCACACCCATGTCTACAGCATGTGCACCCCCATGGTCAGACAGTGGTCCAGCCAAGGTACAGATGTTTGGAAGGCGAGTTCCTGTGTCTCCAGGGCCCCTGATCAGAAGCCCTAGCTGTCAGAAGGATGGACGCTGGAGAGAAAGGCAAGCTGGGAAAAGTGTTGTAGCAGGACATGCATTTTTGTCCCTGATGTGCATCATCACTTCTTCCTTCCAATTTTGGGCCAGAAACCAGCATCTTGCCTCTGAGCTCTGGAAGCTGCTGTGAGAGCAGAGGAAACACTCCAGCCTGGCACAGAAGTCCAGGCAATGGAAGTCATGTGGCAATGCCCCAGTGGTGTTGCCCATCCCGGCATTCCCTATCCAGATACAGTCCCAGGAAGGCGTGACTCAGACTTGTAGTAGGACTGGCAGTTCAAGTCCACTTTAAAGGATGGCTATGGAAAGTCGGCTCCAACATTCCACCTGCAAGCCTCAGCACCAGGTCCTGATTCACAGCGGTAAAGCTGGCCAGCCCTTCCTGGGAGGGTGGGAATTGGCCCTGCACACTCCCTGGGGACTTGGAAGCTCTGGAGACAGTTGGGAAAGAAGCCTGGGGACACCATGCCAGCACGACTCAGAGAAAAGCGCAAGTGCCGTCTGGGTGGAAATCAGGGACACACTAGGCCTCACTGAGGCCTTGAGAAGCTGGGTGGCCCCCTCCAGGGGTCTCAAAGAAGGCTGGCCAGGCTGGTGTTGGGTCCGTTCTGAGCTTGGAACTGCATGGGTGGCGGGCCATCTGTCCACTGCAGGAGGAGAGAACATATAAGTGAGGCCCTTCTGAACCACCTGCTTGGGTGACTAGGGCCATTTCCTGCATCTGAGGGGCTCCTGAGACTAGGCTGAGTTAGGAATTGCTGGAGAGATACAGGGAGATGGCAGCAAAGGGTATACTTCTTCCTCAGGGAGTATGCCCCACACCCCAGAGGGCTGCAGGCAAGGTGAGCCAGCCCTGAGGAGTCAACCAGCACCCCCATTCTGTCTCCCCACACCTCGCGCCTATACCGTGATAAGGTTATGCTCGGGGAGGCTGCAGGCCTCGATGTGGTCCTGGAGCAGCTGCTGAGAGAAGTTCTGGTGCATCTGGGCGGCTTCATGGGCATCTATGGCGTTCCCGCAGGCCTTGTTCAGGTCTGAGGGTAAGACACACAGAGGGTAAGCCTGCCTTGCCCTGCCAACACCCCGATGCACTCCCCTTGGGTGTGGGTGGAGCCCCAGGGTCAAACCCAGGCTCCACCAGTGGGTTCCTGTGTACCTGGCAAGTCATCAGCCTTGAGCCCTGTCTCGGGGTCAGCCAAGCCCCCCTGCCAGCAGATCTCATACGTGCTCTCCTAAGTTTCTGAGTCATGTCCTTAATGTGAGTGAGCAATGGGCCCGTAGGGGCAGACACAGGCTGCCTGGGCAATGAAGGCCCCTGGGCACACAGGAGCTTACAAGAGCAGGGCACCCAACACCTACTTCTGAGGCAGGAGAACTGAACAAGTCCACAAAACCCACTGCAGATAGAAGCAGCCTGCCTCCTGCCTCCTCCTCAGGGTCCAGGGTAAGTCTCTGTAAATGGGGGAGCAGCAGTAACAGCACTGCCACCTGATGAATGTCCGCCCTGCACCCAGAGCATTCCGGCCAGTCCTGCCTAACAGGACGAGGCCAAGCCTCAGGACTCATAGCCCAACTCTTTAACCAAATGCCAAGAATTAGCCTCACAGGTCCTGGAGAGACTAAACCAGAGCCTGAGCTGAGCTGACGCCATGACTGAGCCCAGTGGCCACTGCCCTCAAATAGCTTCCCAAGAACCTGAGAATGTGCTAAATGGGGCTGGTGACCTGTAGAGGCCAGTTTGAGCAAAGGCCAAGCAGGGCTTACTCAGCATCTCTAATCTCTGGGAAGGGCCAGCTGCCAAACTCACCTCTCAGCAGGGCTGACGACCACAACTGCACTGACATGTCCGGGATCTTGCTAGCCAGCTGCATGGCAGGCACCACCATGTTGTTACTCTCCTGTCAACCAAGAGCAGCCAGGGAGAGTGGGAGGCAGCACAGACACCTCAGGCCCCACCTGCTATACCTACCCCAGGCTATTCCCTCCTCTTGCTGCCTGGAAAACTCCTACTCCTACTTCAGAGCCCATCTCACATGCCTTTTTGTGAAAATACCCCTCGACCACCTTGGGGAAAAATAAACTGCCTACACTCCTTGGCTCTGTGTGTGTGGCACGGCTGCCATGGCAATTCTGTCATGTCATTCTAACCAGAGAGGAAGGCACTGGCAGTAGTCAGCTCTGGACCCATACCAGAAGCCAATTAGAAAGGCAGATTCTGGGGTCCCAGGGCCAGGGAGGAGGCATCAGTCTGCCCAGTGGGAGTGATGAGGGCTGAATGGACAAAGGAGGGAGGAGACCATTCCCATGGGTCACCTCAGACATGTGGGACTGTGAGTTGCCAGGATGCCATGTTAACCCTCCAACCCTGACTCCATGTGACTGCACAGCACTGCCTCCCCACCCCAATTCCCAGGATGAGCTCAGGGAGGGCTGTTGGGGGCCCATAAGCATCCATACTAAACCCCGTGGTGACCGGCAGTGCTACTTGGTCACCATTCAGCTCATGAAACATTAGCCCCAATGGCTGGAATGTTAAGTTCAGGGTAACAGTGGGAGAATTCGCTATATGCAGCAGCCTGGGGGGCAGTTGTCACCTAGCCAAGAGACTTACAAATCCTCAAAACCAACTCCTGAGGCCTGGATTCAACAGCCATGGGTGTACAGACATCCTCCTTAGAGATACAAAGGGCCAACAACTTCACATTCTCCAGACTAACATCTTAAAGATAAGCTTCAGGTGGATCCTAAAGGTTTTCAAGACTGAATCAAGCCCACGTCACTCCACATGAGCCCAGGCACATAGGGAGCAGCACAGGTTCCCAAGCTCTGTACGATGCCCTAGGTTTACCCCAAGCATGAACCAGAGCTGCAGCTAAAGAGCTGCCTTGCTCACCCTTCCCTGTTCAAGGTGGCTTCTAGAGACATAAATAGATGAGAGGAAGGTCTGGTTCTAAGCCTGGATCTGCAGTTTGGGGCTGTGACCTTAATCTCCCCATCTGGAAATGGGGTGATCACAGCTACCACACTGAGACACAGGAGTACTGTACTTTGTGGGAGCTTCATTTTTTCCCTAGACACACACCAAGGCCACTGTCCTCACTGTGCTCAGAGACTGAGGGGCAGGGTAACAGAATGTTAAACAGAAGCAGAGCTGCATTCAGAAGGGAGAACCCAGAGCTCATCCTTTTTCTTTAGGGGTGGTAACATCTCCAGCCATAGCCACCAGGACCTGAGCAGGAGGGCACTATTAGCCTTGGCAAACACTTGTCACATGGTTGTGTGAGCAGGCTCATTTAAAAAGCTCATTCTTAGGGAGCCCTGGGGTTTGGTCAGATGAAACTTTACAGGCCAAGACACCTGACCTGTGTCATCTGTCCTATGAAAACAGCTCAAGTCAGGTTGGATAAACTACAGAGTAGATGCTGCTTCAAAATTCTTGCTACTGTTAAAAAAAGGTCTAATATAGTGGTGCAGGGGAAGACAAGGTGTAAAACTATAAAACATCCTGAAAAACAAAAACTGTGGGTGGGTAGGGGCGGACAGTGGAAAAAGCCAGAAGACAGAGGATATGCAATGATTTTCAACTTTGCTTCTCAGAGCTTCTATGATAAAATTGTCATATTTTATAATACGGACAAATGTTTTCTTTTAAAAATTAAAGGTTTGTGAGGTCAATGGGTGAGAGCATGTGACAATGCACAATCAATGGGGAGACTTGGAGTTGGACAATCCCACCAGAACCAGCCCCAAGGACCAGTCTAGGTGAGAGTGGAAACAACGGTGACCTGAGGATACCATGTGTGCTGGGCAGAAACAGAACCCAAGGGATTCTGACTGAGAGGACACCTCTCCACCCCAGGCATTAACACACAGAAAGGGGAACCTGCCTCCGTCGTGCCAGCTCCAGGAAGCTCCACCAAGCACTGGGTTCATCTGCCCCACAGACCCACACTCTAGGGATCCAAAGTTCCCTAGTCCTGCCCCCCAGGCTGTGTGAGCCAGGGCACCCCTGCCCTTGTCAAGCCTCATGAAACAAAGAGGGCTGTGTGTGTGGTGTCACTGAGACAAGATCATCGAGGGGCAAAGGATGCAAAGCACAGCTTGATGGTGCCCCTCCAAGTATCACACTGTCCCCTGCCCCTCAGTATGGCCCTGGACACTCACCCTGTGGTTCCCCAACACGTAGAAAATGTGGCCCAAAAGCACCAGAGAGCATGCTGTGAGCCGGTTCAAGTCCTCCGCGTTAGACATCTTCAGAGTTTCTCGCAGAAATCGCCTACATGAGGGGAATAGACTGAGACGGAAACACCTTTGGGGGAGGAAGAGGCAGCAGCAGCCTCTTAGCCCTGAGTAGAGCCCACCTGGTGGGGCGGGCAGAGGGCCTGAGCACACACTGTAAGGGGAGAAAACCACTTAGAGGGCCAGCCCAGGTTGCCCACCCTTCTCTAGCACTCACTTGGCCTCATTGTAGCGTCCCTGGAAGAAGGAGAAGAGCCCACGCACGTAGAAAGCTGCTGCTCGAAGGCAGTGAGAGCTGGTGGGAAAGTGAAGCCACAATTTGGTGGGGTTTTTGTAAATATAGCGGGCTTACAAAAAGGGAGTGTAAAGTGGTAGTGGTGGTGGTGGTGGTGCAAGGCATTGGGTAAAGGGCAGCCAGGGGCCCCACAGGTGGTGGCACCACCCCAGAGAGCAGAGAATACATAAGACAGGTGGTGGCAAAGTGGGAACTTAGCATGGGTCTACCTACCTGACAGGGAAGCTGTGGTCTGGGTTGATCCTCTCCAATAAGCTGTATAGCTGCAAAGAAAATGACAGTTGGGATCACTCTGCATTTCTAAATTTGAGAGAGTTTGGCCCCAACTATGCTAGTAAATTGATGAGGGCTCCCTGCAACTTCCTGATGGCACTGAGCCCTCACCCTGAATCCCACTGCTGGGCAACCTGCTGGCAGAGGTGGGCAGGATCTTCTAGAGCAGGTGAGGGAACTACAGGAGACTGCATGGGCTGCTTACTTCCTCACACCCCCATGGGAATCACAGCCTCCAGTGAGAAGGGTCTGGTGCAGGGTCCTTTAATCCTCAGCCTACCCTGCCCTATGTCAGGTCGGGGTGCATGGGCCACAAGGCTTCACTGTGATTCTACAACAGACAGTTCAGGGTAGAAGAAACTGAATTTGCTCTGGGAGATTTGACAAAGTTTGGCTTGTTTTCAACAGGGAGAAGTGTTACTTAGCCAGGGAATGTTTCTGTCCCAGATGTGGCCTCCCCCAGCCATGCTGCATTCTAAGGACAGGTACACTGTGACTGCTGAGATGGCTGGTGCCCAAGACACCTCCCTCCCCAGCCCCTGAATAAAAGTTGAAAGAAAGGATACCAAACATGAAGCATGTCACCTACTACCTCTTGGTGTCTATTTCCTTCCCGTATATACACACTCGCCAGGTTGGTCACGATGAAGGCCCACAGCTCCTGGTGGTTGGTGAGCTGAAATGGGGACACAGGGCATTAGGGGCTGCTCATGGCATGGGAGCCGCCCAAACATTCCCTGGCGGCTACTGTGGAACCTCCCATTCTCTTTAATTCAGACACCCCCCTACCACCACCACCACCGCCGCCTGCCTCCTAAACTCAAGAACAGTACAGCTGTTAGTTCTTTTGGCTATAAAACTATCATCTGTTATGAGAAATTTAGGGAACAGAATTCTAAGGAAACCAGCCACACTGACCCTGTCTTCAGAACACACTACATTTTGGTTCATTTTCTGCTTGTTTTTCAGGACTGAAACCCGGGCAGCCACTGCCTCCAAACCATGGTGATCCTGAGACCCTATGAGCACTGATACAGCAGAGGCACATGTTGGTCCTGGGGAAGCCCCCGCCAGGAAAGAGGCCAGAGATGCTACTAATGGTCAGTGGTGGGTAGACCATTGTCCCCAGTTCTTGGGAACCGAGAATGGCCAAGACAGGGACCAATCTGAGCCACCCAAGTATCACCCAGGCCCTGGTTCCCAGTGGGGTTGAGCAAGCACAGCTGTACAAAAGGCTGAGGGTGAGGGGGAAATGCAGACCCCACCTGCAGGAGGTCCAGGTCTTCTGATACAGCAGAAATGCTCTGGTTAGTTTGTTATAGGATCACAGGAAGAGCTCCTGATTGAGGTGGGGGGGGGGTTGGGTCTGAGTTCTGATTGTACCACTTCCCTGCCATTCCCTCTCGGCTAATGGGGAATTCACTGGGACAAAATCAGAGCATCAGGTGCTGCTTGAGGGAAGTGAGATGAGGAGGAAGGGGCCAAGAGACTCTCACAGGCCCTCTGATAACTGCAGGCAGCCTGTGTTTGTGTGTGTGTGTGTGTCAGGGAAATCCTGGCAGCCTGAGCCGACTGGGGCACAGAGTGGGCATGGGAGTGGCATTGTTTTTGCTCTTCATGCTCTGGTGTGCTGCCTCTACCTGCCGCCATGTGGAGCATCTTGGAGGAGCAGTAACACCACCAGAGCCCAACCCTAGGAATAAAGAGGTCTGGAGACTGGCAGAGTGGAGCTCCATCTGACAGAGTTAGGGCACACGTGACACCCCCAGTGACCTCACCTGAGTCACAGAGCCACCCCCATACCCCAACATCTCTGCTTGGGGTCACCCCCGGACTACCAGGAGAAGGTGTTGCTGGCCTCCTTTTCCTGGAAGCACATCGGGGCCGAAGTGAGGATGTGCTTGTCTGGTCCTGGAGCAAGGTGGGCAGAGATGAGATCTGCCACTGGGCTGTTGATTCCTGGACCTGCTGACTCCACGATGATGTGGCACCAGCCAAATCTAAGGCCAGGACATGCCCTAGCAGAGCTTCCAATCTGGCAGCAGCAGGTGGCCTCTGGCCCAGAGCATCTAGGTCATGGGGCTGGTGCAGGGTCAAGGCATACCCAGCTTTGTCTCCCAGCTCTGCCATGGGGCAGTTCTGGGGAGCTCCTGAACCTCACCAAAGTGACTGCATCTACAGCTATGACACGAGTCATCACCAGCCTGGTGGGCTATGAGGGCTGGGAATCAGGAGTGAAAGTGGCTAAACAGGCTGTGGCACCAGTGGGTGCCGGGTTTTCCCTCATTGCTGCCCTTCGGTTTAGTAGGAGAAGACCCATCCCAGGCTGCCCAGGAGCCCCCTCACCCACAGCAATTCCTTGTCAGGCTGTGCTGCCAGCACTGGCCTTGTCCCCATCTGAGAAGCACAAAACCTGCCATGGAAAGCCCTGTGGCTGTTGTCTTCATCACAGCCCATGCCTGACTCCTTACTAAGAAACACTGCCTGCCCCATGCAGTAAGGGCCAGCATCTTACCCGGAGGGCTGTGGTGAACTGGGCTTCTGCGTTGTCCATGCAGTTCACGGAGACACAGTACAGGCCCTGGAAGAAGGAGGCAGTGAGGGCCTGAGGCCTCGTCACTTGCCCAGGGCTGCATGGCTACACCTGGACAAGCCTGACCAGTGACTCTATGAGCCAGCTACACCTGAGCTTTTGCCTTGGCAAAGATGCAGAAAAACAGCATGCTTAGTTATTCCCTCCTCCTGAGACCTAAGTCAGCTTGGACTCAAGGTGTTTGTCAGAATGAAGTCCACTGGGAATGTTCTAGATTCTGCCTGGGGTGATGGTAATGGGGTTACTCATTGGAATGGGGCTGGGGCAGGCAGTCCTGCATACTCACCAGCAGCGTGTGCAGCTGTGCTGCGTGGTTGGAGAAGAGCCGGGGCGACTGCTGGCACAGCTGGCAGACCTGGGAGATCTGCCGGGAGAACATGCCCAACATCATGGGACCTGTAACCCCGGATCATGTCCACACCCTGCCTGCCCTAACTTGGGTATAAAGTTCTGGCGAATATGTCCATTGTGGGGGCAAAGGGCAGCCCTCACCTCCTTGAGGACAGTGATCCTTGTCTGTGACCTGCCTTTTCCTCCCTTTCCAACATGTCTTGGCTATCAGCACCTTTGCCCTGCTTAAGGCCCTGTGCCTTCTCAAGAAGGCAGTAAGCAGGGGTTACATGGAGCATGGAGGGCTCCATATTTCTTGGGCACTCCAGACACGGTGTGTTCTAGAAATGTTGACATTGCCTAGCTTTTAGAGAAAGGGCCACTGATTTCTGTATCAGATTGTCTGATCAACTGTGCCCTTGCTGGGTCACCAACTGCCAAGTTATAGTGAATTGACATGGACAAATGTCCTGTTGATGTGCACTGTGCAAATTTACATTCTCCTATGCAGTGACTTCTGAGACTTGGCAAACTCCAACCACCTGCTCCTGGACCCTCCCATCCTGTGTGTGCGCAGCCCTTAGCAGCCTCACCTCCTGTAGTGCGGTGGCCTTGTGTCCTGTGACGAGCCTGCACATGATGATGTGCTCAAGCAGGATCACTTGGAAGGAGGATAGGATGGGGCTGCAGTCGAGCACTGGAGGCAAAAGGAGGATGAGCACTCAGGGTGCAGCTGGGGAAGCTGAGGAGACGCCAACCCCACCACATGGACCCACTGGCTACCAGGTCTGAGCCTACTTGCTCTGCTGGGCACCACGCCAGCTCTCAGCCTGTCACTTCGCCTGTGCCCATTGCACCCTCGAGTGACGGTTCATCTCCCTGTCCAGGGGGGGAGGGAGACAGGCTCATAGCAGGTTCTGGTGACCAGAGTGTTCTAAGAGTAAGAAATCCCTGAGGGACTTGTTTTCCACCCTGACGCACCACAACCCAGACACGTGCTCAAGAACACTCCAGACACAGTAGGTTGTAGAAATGTTGACATTGCCCAGGAGTGACGCCGTGTGACAGCCTCAGGAAGCAGTGGGGAGACCCGATTCCTAGCTTCCCCAAGTGGCTGTCCTCATGTTGGAACTAGACAGTGCAGACCTTTCCCAACTTGGCCAGAGGGAATGAACTGTGATCCCCAAGGGATTTGGTTTTCTGGCTAATGGCTCCTGAGCAGGTTAATGGGGACACTGAATCAGTGCTCTGGGTTCCTGCTAGTCAAAGGTCCCTGGTCCCAAAGGATAGATAGGGTAGTCAAGCATCCAGGAAGAACCCACAACTTTCAGGCCATCTGCTGTCAGCAAGAGCCTAATTCAGATCTCAGCCTCACACTGAGCACAATCCATGTCACAACACTGATAATAGCAGCCACCCCATTTCAACTGAGCACTGTTATCTCAGCAGGCCCATGTAGAATTGACTATCACACTTGTCTTGTGTCACGGGGTGGACAGGACGGAGATGGCACAAGACCCCTAGCCAGGGATCAAAGGTCAAGCCGAGGCCTAGTCTGCTTTGTCCTGACCCCTGGTTGCCCCCATTTGCAACTAGGGTAATAAGACCCATGGGGCGGGGACTCATGGGGACAGCTTAGCACTGTGGTTCTTCAGGCCCAGCACGACATTGCAGGCAGGCCACATACCAAGGGGCACAGTGGCCATGTGACCCACCCAGCCCAACTTACTCTTCAGCTTCTCCAGCTGCATGAGTGCCTTATCTGTGTACTTCTGAGCCTTCTCCAGGTAGCCAGCCTGCATTGAGTGCATCACGGTCACCTGGTGACAAGACCAGATGGGGGTGGTCACTATGGCCCTCTCCTCACCTACCTGGCCCCTGGACTCAGCCCTGGGGACTCACCAGGTAGACAAGCACACACATGTGCTCCTTGGGCAGCCAGTGGAAGAGGTCGGCAGGGTTGCTGGGCAAGATCTCATCATCATGCAGTGTGGAGATAGTCTGAATGCACTGTTGCAGCTGCTTCAGGCATGGCTTCACGCTCTTCACCTGCAGTGGGTGGGCAGCACTGAACACCTGAGTACCTGTCCACTCCCAACAGGTGCCAGCTCACCATTCCCTTCTTCCCAGGAGCTCCTGCCACACCGATCACCTGCAGGAAGCCTGCCCCCCAAATGGGTCAGCAAGCTCTCAGGGTAGGGGTCAGGGTCAGGGTGGTCATATGTGGGACTGAGGCTCAGCCACCACCCAGTGCTGGGTCTAACACCAAGAATGAGGAGAGGCCTGCCCAAAGACCCTGCATGAGCTATGTTTCCTCCTTCCTGCAGTGACCCTGAGGGAAGAATAGGGCTGGGGCAGCTAGCAGTCATCCTCAGGGGCAGGAAGTAGCTTCCTGGGCCCAGGAGTCCTACAGGTGCCATGCCTTGTACAAATTGACCTCTGGGCACTGGGAAGCCCTGTCCCAAGGCCCCATAGGATATGTCCAGAGCACCCCATGAGTCTGCTCTGTGTTCCTATGTATTGAGCGTGGCACTTGGCCCAACAGGTAAATGTAGGCATAGGTGGGGGAACTGAGGCAGTCCCTTACCAACGAAAGGCCTGCCCAACACTTTCTGGGGCACCATCTGCAGCTTCCTAGGGCCCAAGGCCAGGCCTGTGATCAGTCACTGGGATAGGGTGGGGTGAGGTAGATGGGACAACACCCTCAAAGGCTGAGACAATTACCCATAGGGAGTATAGCATCTCCTCAACTACATGGGGATTATAAAGTCAAGTTTCGGGCACAGCTGATTCCATCAGTCCCTACTCGAACCTCACAAAGTTCTCATCAGTTGGGAGGGGCGGGGGACAATGGATGGACAGACACTGCTTTAGTATATTCTGTGTGTCAGGCACCTTGCAAGAATCCTCAGTTTATTATCACGGAAATGTGTGAGGCCATGACTACTCCTGCCATGAGGACAGGCCATTCTCAAGAGTACCCTATGCCCTCAGGGACATAGCACTCATGCCAGAGCACAACAGGGTATGTGGGGGAACTAAGCCCTGAATGAGACGCACTTTGTTGTGAAGGACAGGAGGCAACAACAGAGTGGGTATCTCAGCCTGAGGTTCCTCCCCATCACCTGCCTGCTCCTCAGGAGCTTGCCCTATTGTGGAGGCACTACGCACCTGCCCTGCATCCAGGTAGTGTGTCACCTGGAGGACCAGGAAGAAGACCCGTAAAGACTCCTTCTGAATGGGATTTCCCTGCCAGTTCTCGACAATCTGTCCACAGAGGGTCAGCAGTGGGTGGACTTCCTGCAACTTGCGCTCCATCAGCAGCAGCTGGGGAGGGAGAGAGGCACAGGTGCTGAGAGCCCCTCCCAGTTTACAGGGCCACGGTCTGCTTGCCCACCCACTGGGGGACTGATAGAACCATGCAGGGAGGGCAAAAAGCTGGGCTGGAACCCCATCCAGGCTGCTCCTTCCTCAGCACAAATCGCACACCTGGAATCTGAGTTTCACCTCTGAACCCAGCTGGAGCACAGGGGCCTCACTCTGGTGTCTGCCTGCAGTGCTTAAGGATCAGGGTGCCCAAAGGGCTGTGCCACAGTGAGCAGGAGCCCTGCCTCATGTCCGTCACACCAGCACCATTCTGCTCAGCCTCAACTTACCATCCCTTTGCTGAGCAGGAACAGCGCCCTAGAAAACAGAGAGGGGGAGTCAGTCTACGAGGCCCAGGTGCCTCCTGGGATGACTGCCACCCCAACATTCACAGGGACCAACAAGCAACCTCGGGGAATGGTTAAGCAGATGCCAGTGACCCCCAATGAGGCTAGTTTTATTTACGAGACTGTTCTACTTTGTCCTATTTGATCTTTCTTTACGTTTTTGGCCTAATTGAGACATTCATGTAGCTCAAAAGTCCAGAAGACACAGACAGATGCTCAGAAATCAGGGAGAGGCAGGGTATAGGACAGTGTACTTGCCACAATCTCACTCTTGCTGACACAACATTGGTAAACAGCATAGGGTGTGGGAAGAGTGGGCAGGATTGGGTGTCTGAACCCAAATCCATGCCTAACTGTGGCCCCTACGCACCTCCCCTTCCTCACCTGTGACCGGCCAAGCCCCTTCAGATTCTCCTGAGTGTTAAGAGGGTGAATTTGGAGAGCCCTGGACATGTTAGCAGTCCCACCACCCACTGTCTGCACCCACAATAGTCAACAAGGCTAAATTTCTATTGTTTCTCTTAAACTTTTGGCACTTTCTAAATGTGTGTGCCAGCTGTCATCAACAAAAATAATAAAATAAGCAAGTTAAAAAGTTTAGGGAACAGCTAAAACAATAGGGGGAAAAGCTGGGAGATAGTCACTGCCTTCAGGAACAGCTGGAGTCATGAAGAGCCCACAGGCCCGTTTGTTCAATGTCTGCCTCTGTCCCACCAGCCTTGGCAGAGTCCCTGTGTACTGCAGCCAATACCCCACCAAGTGGGTGCCATTCCCCCTTTTTACAAGTGAGGAGACTAAGGTGGCAAGTCAGTCATATAGCCTGCCAGATGTTTGTGCTCCAAGCCACCAAATTCTTCCCTATTGTTACGTCAAGGTGTAAATACTCCAGGTCTACCTGCCAACTGTTTAACCACTGAAGTTGAAATTGAAGGCTTGGTACTTCACATTGAGGTTCCCATGTTGTCACATAGGAAGCACCTGCTCAGAGGCCCTACATCAATGGTCAGGGGTTCTGGGCCAGGTGACCTGCAAGCCCAGTGCCCTGGTGGAGCCCACCTGAGTAGCCCACCAAAGGTGGCATGGAAGCCTGTCTGGGGACACTCATGTGTGAACATGCAGAGTGTGTGGCTGCCCCTGTGCCCTCCAAAGCGTGTCACCATAGACCCAGTGACAGCTGCAACATAAGGGGGCCAGGAAGGACCAGGAATGTGAGGCCAGATTGTGTAACAGCTGCCATCTCAGGGCAGGGTGGCTGAGGGATAAGGACAGCCTATGGAAAGCTGTGTGGCTCAGAGAAGAGACTTGGGGACCGTTGTGTCCCAACAACTCCACGGGGTAAGCTCAGCTCTGTTATAAAACAGAACTTTCCAGAACTCCAAAGCACACAACAGAAAAAGAGCTCTGCTACCTGGAGTCTGTTTAGTGCAGAAGATTCTTCTCTTTGGGAGGGAAAAAGAGATTAGAGGCCTTCACAGAGGGTGCAGTGAAGCTCCTATGGCCTCTGATCCTGGCACCCAACCCTAGGGGCAAAAGTCTCCAGGTGGCTCAGCCAGTGTGGCTCAGTGGTTAACCGTCAACCTATGAAGCAGAAGGTCATGGTTCAATTCCCAGTCAGGGCTCGGGTTGCAGGCTTGATCCTCAGTGGGGGGTGTGCAGGAAGCAGCCCATTAATGACTCTCTTTCATCATTGATGTTTCTATTTCTCTCTCCCTCTCCCTTCCTCTCTCTGAAATCAATAAAAACATATTTAAATATATATATAAGTTCTATTAAAAAAAAAAGTCTCCAGATGGTCTAAGCAGTTTTAAGCATAACATTAACCTATGTCCCCCTTTTTATTTTAAAATATGTTTTTATTGATTTTAGAGAGAAAGGAAGGGAGAGGGATAGAGAGACAGAAACATCGATGAGTCATTGATCGCAACCAGGGCATGTGCCCTGGCTGGAAATTGAACCATGACCTCCAGGTTCATGGGTCAATGCTCAACCACTAAGCCACACAAGCTGGGCTCCCTTTTTATTTTAAAGAGAGAAAAAGGGAGAAACAACGATCAGCTGCCTCTGGCACGCATACACCTCAACCAGGGATCAAACCCACAACCTGGGTATGTGCCAACTGGGAACTGAAGCCGCCATCTTTCTTTTTTATTTTTATTTTTTTTAAATGGATCTGTATTGATTTCAGAGAGGAAAGGAGAGGGAGGGAGAAAGATAGAAACATCAATGATGAGAGAGTCATTGATCTGGTGATTGAACCCCAGTTGCCTGGATCCTAGGTCGATGCTCAACCACTGAGCCACACCCGGCTGGGCATGAACTCAGTGCACGGGACAACACTCCAACAGAGCCACACCACCAGGGCTTGTCCCTTCTTTTATACAAACTTCCACTTACTCCACTTACTGTGTTGTTGTGTATCTAAAAGCTCTTGGGTGTCCCAAAAGGGACACTGGAGTTACCTTAGGTGCTGCCAAGCACACTGGGTATGCCCTCTGCAGGCACCATTTTCGTACCTGCTCCACAAAGGGGATGAGCCCAGCAAATTGCACAAGCACTTTTTATTTCAAGATACTAGGTACGTGTAAATGCCTATTGTGCTGAGAATGACAGCTGCCCCTGACCCTCACAGTCAACTCTTCAACTTCATGAATTAACAGGGTGAATTGATGGAGTGAAAGACATTCTAGTGGTGCTTTAATTTGTACATCTCTTACTACGAGTACAGGTGACCGCTGTTTCATGCTGAAATGCCAATTCTACTTGTTGCCCAGGATCAAACGGCTGAGCTCTTTCCAAGTGAGATGTAAGGAGAGGGTGCCTACCGTGTGTACTCGGATCCCACCACCCGTGCATACTCGGCTCCTACACCTAGGAGGTCACAGGCCGACACCAGGTCCTTCTCAAGAGTGTGCAGTTGCTAAAAAAGAGAAACAATAATAATCCTTCCTTCCAAACCTCTTGCTTTATCATACTCAGTACCTGACCTTAAGGCTTTGTTGGCAAGTTAAAGTGAACCTCCCCACCTGTCAAGAAAATTGCCTCAGTGTCAGTTTTGAGTTAAATTAACCAAATCGTGTCATCAATGTTGACGGCTTTAACATCATCTAAGTTTAATAGTGCATAGAGCCAGCAGTTAACACTCATAGGTACAAACCCCCAGGGCTGCACGAGTATATCTTTGCACTTTGGTCATCTTCAGGGGCCGGTCAGTAAGGAGGAGCCAGAGGCACCCCAAACAAGGACTCCTTCAGGAGCAATTATCTGCAGGAGTTTCAAACCTAGAAGCTTTAGGCTAAAAGGAAGGGGCACCTGTGGAGCCTCAATTTAGCTTGGGCTCCCAGATACATGAAGTACCCTCCAACTCTGTGACCTGAGGTAGGTGTCTCACTGCCTGGCTCACTTCTTATCAATGGGCAAAGCATGATGGGAGGATTAAAGGAGACAGTGCTGTGTGGGACAGCAGCAGGCCAGGGGATAAAGAGCTCAGGGGTGCTGGCTAGGTGAGCTCTTCCCAGCAGGCACCCTGAGCCACATCATTCTGGGATGAGGGACTCCCATGGAGCGAGGAAGAAGCAATTCCAGCCTAGGGCCTACACTCCACACACACAGGCAGGTGATGGAATTGTGTTACAGAAGGTAGGCAAGAGGCAGTGTAGAGGGCAGGCTGCTGGGTAGGGGATAGGAGAGGTTGGAGGCCAGCAGTGAGAGGGAGATGTGGGCAGTGCCCAGGACAGAAAAGGTGACCCTCATGGTGGAGCCTAGCTACCCCAGAGCCTACAGGCCCTGTCACTACAGCCAGGAAGACCCAGTCCAGAAAACCCCCTCTACCAAAGCACTGAGACCAGGGCACCATGTCTGGAGAGCTGGGGGAGCTCAGGTGAGGCTGTGCCTCAGCATCCCTGAAAAGGCTTGACTCGGGCAGACATTCACTGCCCAATAGGCAGCCCCTTAGAATCTTGGCACAGCTCTAAAAAAAACATAGTGGGCTTCTGGCAAAAAATGATTCCAAAATTTAAATGAACACAGACCAAAGGGAGTACCAGGGGGGAGGGTAATACAATGACAAGGCCCCCTGAGTCAGCCCCTGGAGAGACAGGGACTCCCACCAATCACCCCCAATGCTGAATGAAAGACCTGTGCTGGGGGTACTGCTGATGTCAGAGGCTAGAAGGGACTTGAGAGCAGACTAAAGAATCATCCCTGTGTCCCCATCCTCTTGGTGCAGCAGCCCGAAGAGGGCCTGTGTGTCCTGGAGTCTGCCTTTATTTGTACTTAGGCAAACGCCAAGGTAATGGCCCAATTCGGCACCCACGTGTCTTGGAGAAGCCCTACAGTACTCACAGCAAGCTGGAAGAGCAGGCGGCAATGCCAGTATGGGGTCTGCTGTGATATCTGGATCGCTTTCCGCAGCAGTGGCTTTGCTGCATCAACGGAATTCTGAAAGGAAACAGTTACATTTGGGGAGGAAAAGAAACAAGCTGGCAGGCAAGCTGGATTTCTTATGCAGCAGTTGGGTTGCCAGAAGGCAACTCCCATTCACACTCACCAAAGCATTTATGGGTTGCTGATTTACTTTACTAAAAGAAGAAAAGAGCCTGGCCAGCCACGGCTCAGCGGTTGAGCATCAACCTAGGATCCAGGAGACTGAGGTTCAATTCCTGGTCAGGGGACATGCCCAGGCTGCGGGCTCAATCTTCAGTCGGGGGTGTACAGGAGGCAGCCCATCAATGACTCTCTCATC